TTTGTTTATCAGAGTCCATCATCTCTCCTGGTTCGTCTCCCCCTCCGACTTACTCCCCTTCATTCTTCCCCTCCTATCTTCTTTTTTTTTTCCTTAAAATATATTGCATTATTTGTTTCAGAAGTACAGATCTGTGATTCAATAGTCTTGGACAATTCACAATGCTCAATATAGCACGTGCCCTTCCCAATGTCTATCACCCAGCCACCCCATCCCTCCCACCCCCCACCACTCCAGCAACCCTCAGTTTGTTTTCTAAGATTAAGAATTCCTCATATCAGTGAGGTCATATGATACATGCCGTTCACTTGATTTTTTAAATAAAAAGTACATGAACGCTTTAGGTAATATTAGAAGAATACCTAAAAATGGAAGGTAATGGAGCTTGATATAAAACGTTTCCACCATCTAAAGTAATCTAGTGACTTCAGAGCTGTATGATGATGTGGATTTGAAAGCCCAAGTTAAATATGTATAGTGCTTTCAAGTTAGAGATCCCATTAATTTAGAATAAGAGACTTTTTCTTCAGCCACTTCCCCCAGTCTCTCCTGAAACTTAAAATAGTCCCATTTGGTTGGCTCTAACACACACTGACTACTTTCTGATAGCGTTCTTACACCCAACAAATGAAAGTCTCACAGGTACCTAATGAGTTAAATCTGGTGTATTTAATATTAGGTCTCAACTGTCCTCAGGGAAATGCTTTCTGGTGTATAGATCTGTAATGCCACATACATGGTAATACTGGAAAATACTATATGTGAGTAATGCTCTTGCTAACTCACCATTGGTTTTAGCACTTCTAAATCTGCCCCCAAAGAGCCCGTGTGAAGTCAACATTTATGGTGACTGCATTCAGCAACATATCCCTGTGATCTCTCTTAACACACTAATAGGGATGGATACATTTCTCGCCACTCTTACAACAAAATGAAATTACACTAACAAAAATGATACATTGTATCCAAAAGCAAGCTTTGCTAACAATTTAAAGACACAGGTGCTATCTTTTAAAGAGGTGCCTGACACTATTAAAGGAATCTCCTCAAAACTTTTTTTTTCTTTCTTTTTCATCAGGACACATTAAGTTTTGAATATAACAGATTTTTGTTTGCTTTCTTCAGCACTGTATTCTGAAACGTACTCACGTACTCACGCAGAGTGAGCCATTTTAGTCTTAGAACATCCCCTGTCCTGCTGTGTTAATTATGCAATTTAAATGACTACCCTCCAGTCTCCAGCCCTCCACGTCCCATCAATTCATAAACACCAGGTGAATTTACAGTGATCAGTCTGGAGTGGCCAGGGACCTTCTGCTAAAAGATATTTTACTGAGAAGAACACTGTTATTTTCTTCCTACCACTCCATGAGAGAGGCTCTCCATTATCTTCCTGCTAGTGAATAATGTAGCCCATTTGCCAGGACATGCTAATAAATACCAACTGGAGTAGCAGGGAAAAAAAAAATGGAAAAGGGAAAAAAACAAAACAAAACAAAACACCTTACAAACCAAAGAGAGGAAGGGCTAAAAGGAAAGAGAAAATTCATACTTTTGTTACCCAAATAAACTCCCTCTTCACTGACCACAATTCACTGTATCTAGCGGTATCTTTCCTCACGCATGGAGCTACCTAGCCTTATCACACAGTGTGAACAACAATGGCCTGACGTTGATGAGAAATATCACTGGTACATCTTACCCTGGATTGTGCTTTCCAGCATGACGACTTTATATTGCTCACGTTGTCCACTCTGCCCCGGAAGCTAATGTTGGATTTCCTCCATAGGTTGGAAGCACGGTGTTTTTCAGGTGCAGGAAAGGTTACCACATTCAAGGTTCTACGACTCGCACTTGCCTTGCAAATTTAACCTGGAGTGGAATTCAGACTGAGTGTATACGTAAGTTTGATTTCTTCCATCACAGCCAGCAATGGCCTGTTTATTCTCGAACGTCTGGGAAGTGTTTACCCTCAAGAGATATAATGAGAAACTGCCTTATTTTTGTTCATTTGATCATCTTTGATTCTCTAAACTAGAATTTCTCAGTTTGATTCCCTAAAACCAGCAGCATCAGCATCACATGCGAGCGTGGGTAGTAATTTGAATTCTCAAGCCGCACCCCCAGACCTTCAGAATCAGAAACTTGGAGGCTGGGGTATGGGTGGGAGCAAAGAGGAGGGACAGCAGTCTATAATTCACTGGGCATGCCAGGTGGTAACGGGGCACACCCAAATCTGAGAACCTGCCCAAACCAAAGACAAGTGAATGACATCAGTTACACTCGCAGAAAGAAAGCTTTTGTGTGCATGCTATTATTCTTCTAGAATGTTTAAATCAAATCATTAAAGAAGGGTAAAATAGATCATGGAATATGTCACAATATTAATAGAAATATCTTAAATGTGACCAAATTTTATTTTTTGACTTAATCATGAGAAATAGAAGAAATGTTATAGGAATCATCTGTAAGCCAATATTTCATCCTCTGTCAGATTAGTGAGATGCAGAATCTTACTCTTACTGTGTTAAACCTAAAAAAATAGAATGTTATGAAAAATTATTTTAATCATATGTAAGGTGTGATTTTTGTGTATTTATTTATCAGTATCAGATGTATATTTATTTCAAAGTTATCATCGCTAATACTCTAGTCAAATTATATATGTGAATATTATATGCACACACAGGTATGCATATATGTGTATATACATGTGTGTGTGTCTCTACAGCTTGGAGCTTGCTAATATCAGGTATTCATATGTTGAAAATTTACTGAAGTACAAAATATTATGATACTTAAAACAATTGCATTTGTAATTTTAATATCATCCACTTGTTTTATTTGCATCTGCCAAGTCTTTTATTTGAGACATATATGTGAACTTTATATAAAGAATGAGAAGTTACTTGAGATTTAAACATTGCAATCTTATTCACTCCTAAATTAGATTTTAAGGGAAATAAGAATCTATAATATTTCAATTAGGTTTCTAAACACACATCAAGTTTTTACCAAAATTAACTACTCATTTAACTGAATAACAGATTTCTTAGCTGCCATCAGACAAAAATCAAGGCGTATTTCTAAATATGTGCCAATTGTGTTTAGCTTATAGGACTGGTCTTTTAAGGCAAATTAACATATTATTTATCTAAATAATATGTCAGAAGTGATCTATTTATTTCAACACTATGATTTATATTCTAAATTGGTACACATAATTAATTGTATACACTTAAATATAGAGAGGGATACTAGATGGATGGATGGATGGATGGATGGATAGATAGATATTTAGAGGGAGGGAAGGAGGGAGGGAGGGACAGTAGAGAGGGCTGGCAAATCCCAAGTGTTCATTATATTAAAAGTTGCAGAGAATATTGGGGATATTTATAGCTACCGTATTTGGAATTTTGAGTTGTAATTTTGAGTTTACAGCCATTTCCAAATTTTGCCATATTTCCTTATCTCTTTAGATGCATATGCTAACTCTAAGATAAACAAAGCATCAGTGTTTTCTAATGGAATATATGCCATTTCAGCCCACGCCTGCAGACAACCAGAAACGCCAGCCCACGCGGATGTGAGAGCGATAGATCTCCCCACCTTCGGTTACACCTTAGTGTACACCTGCCATCCGGGATTTTTCCTCGCAGCCGGGTCTGAGCACAGGACGTGTAAAGCAGATATGAAATGGACAGGAAAATCACCTGTCTGTAAAAGTAAGTCACTGATGAGGGAGTGAACACACATCCCTGCAGAGCAAAGAGGAGCGCCAGCAGCCCATCAGGCTAGCTTCCAGGTTTAAGATCCATCAGGAAACAGCATCCTGGAAGTGATGTCAGTCACCCCAGCTGAATCTGTGTTCATGTGGTGAGCTGTGTGTGTGAACGTGTGCATAGTAAGTGTTCGGTACAATGGAGGCATAGTCGAAGCAGACATGTAGATAGTATTATTTGCTATTCACACTTCAAGCCATGGAGAGAAGCTGTTTGCTTCTAGAAAAGCATTATGAGTTAAAAGGACAATAATATACACCATAGTTTTGGAAAATGTACATTTTTTAAATGAAAATGGCAAACATCACCAAGCATTGATGGATGTATAAATTATCTGTTATTCTTAAAACCACAAGCTGTTTGGTGGTAGAATATACATTTATGTATTCTTTACACTGGTTCAATTTTTTTTTAATTACAAAGGCAATTAGCATGAAATGCATTAATAACAAGTTTGTGTATTTACAAATAAGAGTAATAAATCAGTGTTGGATTTGACGATAGCTGACTTCTCAGATTCTCCACCAAACATAGATCATAGAGGCATCAAATACTAAACAGCAAAAGCAAAAATTATGGAGTGTGATAAAATCTGTGACTTTAGTTTTACTTTCTTGGAGCCTATTCATAGTTCTCAAATTAGGAATTCATAAGATATTTGTGTTTCCCTTGCCCTTCTCTGTCAAAAATGGAAGAATACAAACTTCAAAAAGGTAATTTGTAGTTTGACACAGAACTGTAAGCGCTAAGAGATTTTGAGTTACATCCAACTTGATAGACCAAATTAAACACTCTGCAAGGGAAACAATTTGGTGTTATTCCATATCGACTCGTACTTTCATTGATTTGGGTGAGGACTTGGAAAATTAAGAGAGGTTATGAAATCTTAGTTATTTTGTAGGCTACCTTTCTGTTGCGGCCAGTATATCCCAAATAGGAGTGAGCAAAGGGCCATAAACCACCCTCATTTGCAAGGCTCTCTGTTGTAACACACCACACCTCATAGAGCTGCATTGGTTTGCACCAGTAATCTCCATTTTTCTGCAAACACAAAGGATATTCTGCTGTGAATACAGGGGTTTAAAGTGGATATGTATATGACATTCATATTTTGTAGAACTTCAAGAAATCTGGAGAAAGGAAAATTGCTTCAATTTGACATTTTTTCAGACTTATTCAAAAATACATGTTTTTGAAAATGATAATTTGTCTTTTTACTTGTAGGTAAAGGAGTGAGAGAAGTTAATGAAACAGTTACTAAAACTCCAGGTTTGTATACCAGAACAGTTCTAGATTTAAATCCAATAAGTGACTTGTTCTCTACTCTGCACAGTGAAACAAATTTTAACACACAAATTTCCAATTCCATTAGTTCATGATCGAGTTAACGTTTCAATTATGGAAAACACTAAGTCTACACAGATTCCTCTTTCTTCCATAATGGTGGATGGTCAATGAGAATAACAAGACTTGACTTAGGAGGAATACCTTTGGCATTATCGCACACTGTCTCATGAAAAGGGGCCTCAGGTATTTTGTGGGCAGAACTGGACATAAAATATTGATAATAGAATGTGATATAATGGAGAGCCTTATAAAGAGGGTTGCAATTCTTTCCTCTAAACAGGAAGCTAATGTAAATGAAGCATTGTGACAGCATCACCTGTCCCCTTGAGCAGTACGAATGTGGAGTTCCATTTATTTTTCCAAGTATCTCCATAATTGGGGCATCCTCTGCCTCCTAAAATGTTCATTATTGCTCTTTGTTCTATGTGGTGCGTTGCTCAATGCATGACATGGAAAATCGGAAAGATGCAGTCCTGTTTCCTAAGGAAGATGCTCACTACTCCAAATCACCTGGCATATTCTATCTGTGTTATAAATATAGAGACTATTTTAATAATTCAGTGTGTCCCAAAATATAAGTTAAGTCAACCATTTTTTAACAGAAATAGAAAACTTTTAAATATATAAGGTCATTTCCCTAGTGTTTTCCTTATTCAGGTTTTAACACCGATTTCTCAGACAGGGAGGTCTATTCTGACATCGACTGTGGAGACCATTTATGTGATGCTCTTGTTAAGTCACAAGGCTGTGTTACACACTTCAGTCTCAGACAAGGGCAAATGTCCCAACATGATGAAAGGACTTTTTCCAATGTACACCATGAAGTATACAAACTACTTCTGAAAATTGTTGTGAATGATTCTATTTCAATGTTAAGTTCAAATCAAATACAGAAATCAGTACTCTTTATCCAGGAACATTTTCTTCAGGGGAAGGAAACAATCTGTTGTGGTGGTGGTGTGTTTGTTTGTTCTGTTTTTGTTTGCTTATTTTTTGTTTAAGATACCGAAATACTTGCATACCTTATTTTGAAAGTGCATCCATTCTCATCAGTACACCTCTTTTCATTCCCTCGGAAGGGTCTTGCTAATTGAACGTGGTTCTTTGTCCAGGTAGTGAATCGTAACACACCTCAATGTCCAGTTGTGGTGTTACACTGTAAATGAGAAGGGCCCTGAAGGACCACCTTTGCCACGTTGCCCATGGCCATATTTGGATACAAACAAGCTGCCTCTCAGACACTGGTTGCACCTTACCGTACAAAGTCAGGCACGACCCATCCGTCCGACACACCAGCCAACCAGCCAAGAGTCTCACTCCACTGACGGGCTTGAACAAGTACATTAATAGCTTCTCCTGAGTGGGAACATCCTAATTAAGGGAAACAATCTTGACACTATTCTAAAGGCTGTTAATGTTGGTAAAGGAAAAGAAAGTCTTCGGGTTTGACATTTGAACCTACGCTCCTGTACGGCCACCAATGGACAGGCAGACATGTCCAATGTCCCTTATCAGTAAGCAAATGTGTTAGATGTCTGTGCTTTTATCATAGTTTCTAACCGATTTAACTTTTAAAAGTTATTATTATTACAACTTGAGTCTACCGAGAGCCACAGGAAGTGATGACACTTTTTTCTTCTTGAACTCCTCCGTGGCTAGGGTAGGTTTTATGAGTGGAGCTGGTCTGGGAAGACAGGGGAAGTGGCCCTGAAAGGGGACCCATGAACACAGGCCCAGTCTATGTGTGGGCTCATCACTGGTTGCTGCAAGTGGATTTGCTAAAAAACATATTTAGGGAGAAATGCATCTTTCTCTACGTACACGACATTTGACACCATTGGCTCTGACTTTGTTAGCAATCTGGGAGTGTTTTTCACAAGCACGGAGGAGTGTGGGTGAGCGGGATGGGCTCTCCTCGAGAGGTGAAGACCTCCGCACTCAGAGCAGCTCTGTCTTCATGACCTAAGCGGATGTCCTCCACTGGTGATTTCAAGTGCAAGCTTTCTCAGGGCAGGGAACTCCTGGCAGATGACACATGTCAACTCTCTGAGCCTTCTAAGTCTTTCAAAGAGTTCACCTAGATGTTAATGAAATATCAATAGTAGGTCAGCCAACATCTTTTCATTATGGCACAAGAACCTGCCCTCCTAGAGGTAGTGCTGACTCACCACACCCTCTGGCCTTGGCAGATCCCTTCAGACAGGAATGCTTTGGCACCTAAAGTATTTCTCCAACAAATTAATGAATGAACCTGTATGTGCATCTCACAAAATCTCCCTCCTCATTTCATTTCCATCACACCTACGCTGTGAAGGGCCTGGGATAGGTCATGTCTGTCCTCATCACCATCCCGATCGTGATCTCTCACTTGACACTTAGTACGCCTCTGTGTTGCAAAAAAGATCTCAATTTAATTTTTCTATGTGTGCTAACATTCTTCTGGTTTTTTCCCCCCAACAGTTCCTTCTGATGTATTTTTTGTCAATTCCGTGTGGAAGGGATATTATGAATATTTAGGGAAAAGACAACCTGCAACTCTAACAGTTGACTGGTTCAATGCGACAAGCAGTAAGGTGAACGCCACCTTCCTTGAAGCCTCTCAGGTGGAGCTGAAGTTGACAGGTAGGCCCTGAGGCATTTCCTTTTATGAAATGCAGAATGTGATCAGAAGCATACCTTTTATCCTCTCACAAGGAGAGAGCTAACATTGATTAAATGCTTATTAACATTACATGGCTTTGCATAAGCTACATCTCATGGGATCCTCTCAATAACTGTGGTAGGTTGGTATTACCTTGTTAAAGATTACAAAACCAGTATAGAAAATCTAATTAATTTGTTCCAGATTAGGCACGTGACATACTGAGTCAAAGGTGTGAGATTTATATCCAGATATGCATATCTACAAACTTCATTCTTACAGTATCCTTCTCTTCAACTCATGTGCTTCTTAGGAGATTTTTAATTTTTGGTCATTCCACTGTTAATAACCTAACAACAACTTTGATTTAGATGCCAGACCCCATTTTAAGTACTTACATATATTATCTTCTCATTCTTACCTCAATCCTATGATATGAGCATTCTTACCAGACACATTCTTTACTGATAACAGAGAGAAACAGAGAGAGAGACAGACCCAGGAAACTGGTGGCCTTCCTAAGGTGACGTGGTAGAGGTAGCATTTGAACTCAGGAATCAGAATTTCAGAAATCTGAATCTTGAGCCAACATTCTTACCCATTAAGATACAGTACACCTTTATGACTATATCTAGGGTCTTTTAAAAAAATTTCATTTATGTCACTTCTTACAACCATGTATCCTTTTCTACAGACCCACCCCATGAGGGCTGGAGTTTTCTGAGTTAACCACAAGGCAGCCCTGGGTCTGAACACTAAAAGGCTCCCAAATGGTTTCTGCTCTTCTGCTCATCACCAGACAGATGCATGCTTGACCTTTAGAAAGTATGATGGCAGGTCAGCCTCCCGCCCACTCTTCCCATTCCGCTCTCCTGCTTCCTGAAAGTAGGAAACATCTAAGCCCCTGGATTTAGGAAAAACAAAATCATTTATACTCAGCGAAGTTTGGCAGGCATCTGATTGTGAGTTTGTGGTCTCCTGGCCCATACACGGTTTCGCACCTCGAGCCTGTGAATGGATAAGTGATTTAGGCCACGGGCTCAAATCTACATGCATGTCAGAATCCACTGAGGAACTTCTTAAATATCCAGATCCCTCTGTCTTAGGCAGCTCATGGGCTAATCTTTTTCTTCGTGGAGTTTGGATTTATTCTTTCCCAAAGAAGATGCTGCCCTGATGCAGACAGCCTCTGTGGAGCAGAGCTGGGATGTCTGCAGTCCAGGCCTGGGAGGGTGTTTGCATCACGGGCTGTTCCTGCTGAGTCCCAGGGGACACAGAGGCTCCTGGGTGTGTGAACTATGATTAGGAAGACAGTAGGGGAGGAAGGGAGGCAACAGGTGTGGGGTGTCAGCCAACACACTGATACTCTGTTGGTGCTGCTGTTGGATCAGCACAGCAAAACTCATGAGTGTGTATCTTATTACGTCTACTGGTGGCTTATCGTCCTGGGGTTCAGAGTTTTACAGGTTAAATTGGATACTGACAGCACAGAGCTGCCTGGGGTAGAAATGGACTCCCACCCAAAATAAAGCCTCAGGGAGCCCCTTCTTGTCCTCCGACCTGAACAAGCAGTTCTCTCCACCCTGTGCTCCCAGGCAGTGGGGACCATGCCTGGGACAGTAGAGATTTGCTTCTTTGTTCTGAGTTAGTAGGAGTTCAGTGCTGCATTCCCTGAAACTAGCAGCATGATCCTCCCTTGAACCTGTCTTCCCGGCCCAGAGGACACTTGGGTGTGTTATTATCCATTTAATACTTGTTTGTTTGTTTGTTTGTCTATTTCCTCCAGTGGGTCAGGAGCTAGCTCTGGCTGCAGACACACTCCCTGCCCGCCTGGGCCACACCATGACCTCTCATCTCTGGGCGAAATTAAGCTGTCACTCCAGCTGCCTGACAGGTAGCTGAGAGGTGTTTTATCATTGAGTCCCTCCTGCCCAGAATTGCGCTGGTGACACAAGCATGCCTGACACACTCTGTCCACCATGCTGTCCATTTTGTTTCAACAGGTGCAGTTCATCTGTAGAAGTAGCAATATCCGTGCTTATGGTCACGGTCTCTTTGTCCACACAAATGAGTACAATATGGATTAAAAATGATAGATTAAAAAGAATACTATAATTGAATGTGTATTACCTTTATTTCTGTGGGATAAATATGTTGAATTTAATGAAATGGGTTGTACCCATTCAAGATAGGAAAAGACTTAGGAAGTGCTTTTAAAGAAAACAGAAGGACTAAAGCTATAAATTAAGAATAAAAATAATTTGTTATTTCTAATATTGTCATCTCTGTACCGTACCACAAATCAAACAGAATGAATGAGTTATTAACCCTTGTGAATTCCTACAGTGTAAGAATAACTGACTTTGATTTTTTTTGGTAGGAGTTTACAAGAAAGAAGAAGCTCACTTACTTCTGAAAGCATTTCAAATTAAAGGTCCCGCAGATATTTTTGTAAGCAAGTTTGAAAATGACAACTGGGGACTAGCTGGTTATGTAAGTACTTTATGTGGGGGGCTATCACTCAGCATGGAGGGCTGATCTTTGCGGCCACCAAAGGATGGCCGACGGGAGCCGTGTGGCGTCTGCCCCTTGAAAATTCACTGTTCCCTCTGCTTCTCAAACAGCATGGTCCTTTCACCCCTTCATTTTAAGAAGGAAAAAACCTAGTTTCTGAAATGACAAATAAATGAGTAGTTACAGCTGGGGACAGAACATGAGCTTAGATCCACATTCTGTGCTTAACGCCACATTGCACCAGAAATCCGAACACAACCATTGGGTAACCACTCTAAAAGTTTGAAAAAAAACATCATTTCCAGATACAGAGATTTCAGATGTCTCATTGAGATCCGTCTTTGCCAGGCAACCATCGTATGTGTTCTAATTCATTATCTGACATAAGAGTATACGGCCTCACGTGATATTCACCAGCCAAGAGCTGCGTCACAAAGTGATTTTGACATAATGTAGGCTATATAGTAATTCATATAACTGTCCCCTTTACAAAGGTTGGTTAGCCTATGGATATGTTGTAAATTTCACTATTTCAAGGTGAAAATAAGATATTGAGAATGTAGATGTGAGTTGAAATTCACGTGTGTCTTTTCCCACTTTTTAATTGCTAATGTGTCACTGGAAGGAAGGACAAAAAACAAAAAAATATTTAACCTGTAATATCTAGCTGTGAGAAATACAGTTATACTATGATTGAAGAGATTATTATTAATCCTCGCTATGCATTGTTTTCTTCCTTTTCATGTGTATCAGGTGTCATCAGGACTCGAAAGAGGAGGATTTACTTTTCAAGGTGATATTCATGGAAAAGACTTTGGAAAATTCAAGCTCGAGAGGCAAGGTAACTGCTCTTATGTTATGTGTTGAAATCAAAAGTCAGGGGCGCCTGGGTGGCTCAGATGGTTAAGCGTCTGCCTTTGGCTCAGGTCATGATCCCAGGGTCCTGGGATCAAGTCCCACATTGGGCTCCCTGCTAGGTGGGGAGCCTGCTTCTCCCTCTGCCTCTGCCTCTCTCTCTCTCTCTCTCTGACTCTCATGAGTAAATAAATAAAACATTAAAAAAAAGAAATCAAATGTAAATTTGACCTTCAAATGATTGTGCTGAAAAGTAACAGGAAGGAACATAAACAAATAATGGGAGGGATGAACGGATTTTACAACAGAACAAAAAATAAATGCTATGAATAGCAAAACTGACAAATGCAAAGCTGGAAACATGCAATCTGTATGCCAGATATGGAATTAATATCCTTAACCTAGAAAGAGATACTAAAAATATGGGAAAAACAAAACAAAGATGAAACTCAATTAAAGAATCAAGCCAACGACGTTGTCCTAAGAAAATTATCAGAGGAATTAGGAGTGGCCAAAAGCTACGAAAAAATCTTTAATTTCAAAAAATGCATATTATGGTAACAAAGATTTTTCCATTTTCAATTACTAGAATGTCAAATTTTTCAAGCAGTTATTCTGGGGAACAGTATAAATGGCCACTGGGGTGCTCCATTTTGGGGGGTGTCTGAGTAGATAAGGGCAATTTGACAACACCTTTCACCCAGCGTGTCTGCCTTTGGAGATTTCAACTAGACGAGTGGGAAAATTATTCTTCTTGCATCTCCCACATCTATCATGAGAGAGTTGCTTAAGTAAATAGTTTTATGCCACATGTCACAATAAATAGGAAGCTAAATTTAATTCAGCATATTTCATTAAAGAAGTGAAGACTGTGTATTGATGTGCAGAGATGTCCATGATTTCTATGGGAGAAAAAAAGTTTACTGTAGGTAGCCAGACAGATAGATCCTCCTTCCTATCCTTCTCTACAACTTGATTTTTACCTTAGTAATTGGAGAGAAAAAAATCACTGGGTTAGAATCTTATGTCATCTACCAGCTGGTTTTGTAATGCAAGATAAGTTGCAATCTTCTCGGGCCTCTTTCTTCATCTGACATTACAGTAGGGAAGTCAATTCTGGGCTGTTACCAAGATTAAGAGACAATGTAAAGTGTTTGCTTTGTGCATGCCAAAGCTCTTCCCACATGAAAATCACTGCTATCATTGGTGCCTAAATGAATGAGAAAATGCCTTTTTGTAAGATTAGCACCACATTTATTGTGAACAGTATAGACTTCTTTATACTTTACTTGTAGAATAACATTAACATAATACTTTTCTAGAAAACACTAAGTCCATATAGGCTTTGAGACCAGAGCTGCTTTCAGAGGTACATGAATATAATATTCTGTGATGGTTGTCATCGATTGCCCATTTCATAAGACTTTTATCAAGATACTGAGGGATTCCAAAGGAAAGGTATCCCAACCTGTATATTATATTTAAAAAACTATGTGACGTGATGAGCACTGGGTGTTATACACAACTGATGAATCATTGAACACTGCCTCTAAAACTAATGATAATATGTTGGCTAATTAAATTTAAATTAAAAAAATAAGAAAATACTTGATCAAAAAGAATAATCTTAAAATATCCAAATTCCAACTTCCAAATGCAGTGCTTGTAAATAAAGAGCATTAAATTATAATGTTATAAATTATAAATTAATAACCATGGTGGACATGGTCCTTTAAATTGGGTTATGTTATTTTGAGGTAATGAAATAGAATAAATGCATTGGACCAACACTAATGATGAGTAAAGTTTTCTCTTGCTCTAAGCCAAATCCCTGCAGTTATCTGTCCTCCTTTCTCCCTGGGCACACGCTCTAGTAATTCCGCTGAAGGATGCCCCGGTGAGCTGTACGAGACACCCTGTGGCTGTCTGGGTTTACTCATCCGAGGAACCTGGCCTCCCTATCACTGCACTGTTGCAGATATCCTTGTATGACACCGTTTCTTTCTAATCTAACAAAATAACAGCTTGCTTTAACAAGTAATCTTTATTCTTGTGTGATGATGAGTTTATTGTCAGGAAAACAGTTTGCATCACAAATAATTTGAATCCCAAGTAAGCCTCCCCTTTGACTAATTAGAAAAGTTGACATTTCAATATGCTTCATCAGCGACCATTCATCTCAGATTTGGTTAAACCCTATTTTTATGGATAAAAATAAACAACCTCTTCATTGTCTCCAGTCAGTAGATAAACGGGAAGAAAGTGATGATTATTAAGTGGATACTAACTCAAGTTGGGTTGAAAATCCACTCTAATGCAAAATGCATGTAAGAACTTGACCATTCTCTAACACGAAAAACAAAGATAAACTCAAAATGGATGAAAGACCTCAATGTGAGACAGGAATCCATCAAAATCCTAGAGGAGAACATAGGCAGTAACTTCTTTGACATGGCCACAGCAACTTCTTTCAAGATACATCTCCAAAGGCTAGTGAAACAAAAGCAAAAATGAACTTTTGGGAATTCATCAAGATAAAAAGCTTCTGCACAGGAAAGGAAACGAAGAGGCAACCCGCAGAATGGGAGAAGATATTTGCAAATGACTCTACAGATAAAGGGCTGGTATCCAAGATCTATAAAGAATTTCTCAAACTCAACACCCAAAAAACAAATAATCAAGTTGAAAAATGGGCAAAAGACATGAACAGACACTTCTCCAAAGAAGACATACAAATGGCTAATAGACACATGAAAAAATGTCCATCATCATTAGGGAAATTCAAATCAAAACAACATTGAGATACCACCTTACACAAGTTAGAATGGCAACAATTGATAAGGCAAGAGACAACAAATGTTGGAGAGGTTGTGGAGAAAGGGGAACCCTCTTACACTGTTGGTAAGAATGCAAGTTGGTACAGCCATTTTGGAAAACAGTATGGAGGTGCCTCAAAAAATTAAAAATGGAGCTACCCTATGACCCAGCAATTGCACTACTGGGTATTTACCCCAAAGACACAGATGTAGTGAAAAGAAGGGCCATATGCACCCCAATGTTCATAGCAACAATGTCCTCAATAGCCAAACTGTGGAAAGAGCCGAGATGCCCCTCAACAGATGAATGGATTAAGAAGATGTGGTCCATATATACAATGGAATATTACTCAGCCATCAGAAAGGATGAATACCCAACTTTTACATCAACATAGATAGGACTGGAGGAGATTATGCTAAGTGAAATAAGTCAAGCAGAGAGTCAATTATCATGTGGTTTCACTTATTTGTGGAACATAAGGAATAGCGTGGAGGACATTAGGAGAAGGAAGGGGAAAATGAAGGGGGGAAATCGGAGGATGAGACGAACCACGAGAGACTATAGACTTCGAGAAACAAACTGAGGGTTTTAGAGGGGAAGGGGTGGGGGGATGGGTTGGCCCGATGATGGGTGTTAAGGAGGTACTGCATGGAGCACTGGGTGTTATACGAAAACAATGAATCATATCACTACATCAAAAACTAATGATGTATTATATGGTGACTAACATAACATAATAAAATTAAATTTAAAAAAAAGGAAAAGAAACCAAATGATATTCTGGTTTCCCCATATAAACTGAATTGCCCCACTCCCAACCCCAGGTACATACATGCACGCGCACACACACACACACACACACACACAGAATGGAAGAAAGCATTGTAAAGTATGCATCTGATAAGGGACTTGTATCCAGAATATATAAAAGGCTCATATGGTTCAATAACACAGAGGCAAATAACCTAATCAAAAAGTTGGCAAAGGATTTTAGTTGACATGTCTCCAAATACCTGCAAATGATCGATAAGCACCTGAAAAGATGCTCAACATCATGAGTCATTTGGGGAACATAAATCAAACCACAGTGAGACACCACCTCACAAGCACCAGGATGCCAATGATCATACAGATGAGCATGGTGGAAGCGTGGAGAGATTATAGCTCTTGTACCTCGTGGATGTCATGTACAAGTGGTCCAGCTGCTGTGGGAAACAGTCTGGCCATTCACCAAACAGTTAAACATAAAGTTACCATGAGATGCAGCCACTCCACTCCTACATGTATGGCCGACAGAACACATATGAGAACATATGTTCACACGAAAATGTGTACACAATGCTTATAGCAGCATTATTCCTAAAGCCCAAACCTGGAATCCACCCAGATGCCCAGCAGCTAATGAATAGATGAACAAAATGCGGTATATCAATACAGTGGAATATTATCTTGAAGACCTTATGCTAAACAGGAGGAACCATTCACAAAGAAAACCCCACATATTGTATGATTCCATTTATATGAAGAGACAGGCAGATCTAGAGACAGACAGAAGGTCAGTGGTTGCCCAGAGCTGGAGGTTGGAGGGTGAGGAATGACCTCTGGAGGACACTTTTTCCTTGGGGGAAGACAACAGTGTTCTCGAATTAAAATATAGTGATGATTGTAACACCGTGTAAATATACTAAAAAAACTTTGGACTGTATTTATGCTTTATTATTATTTTTATGTATATTTTATTTATTATTGAAGTAGAATTGACAATCAATGTTATATTAGTTTCAGGTGCACAACATAGTGTTTCCACAAGCCTATTCATTACTCAGTGCTCACCATGAAAAATGTAGTCACCATATGACATTATTACAATATTATTCACAGTATTCTCCATGCTGTGCTTTTCATCTCTGTGACTTATTAATTTTATAACTGGAAGTCTGTACCTCTTAATCTCCTTTACGTATTTCAGCCATCCCTCTACCGACCTCCCTCTGGCAACCAATGGTTCTCAATTTAAGGGTCTATTTGCTTTTTGTTTGTCTTTAGATTGCACACAGAAGTGAAATGATCTTGTATTCGTCTTTCTCTGACTTATTTCACTTAGCATGATACTCTATAGGTCCATCCATGTTGTCACAAATGGCAAGAGCTCCTTCTTTGTTTTAACTGAGTAATATTCCATGTTGTGTGTGTGTATGTACACATATATGTACATCACATATATACACACACACACGTATATGTCACATCATCTTTGTGCATCGATAGATTTATGTATACTTTGGGTGAATTATCTAGTATATGAATTTCTTTCAATAATGATCTTTAAAAAAGAGTGGAGGGCGCCTGGGTGGCTCAGTCGTTAAGCATCTGCCTTCGGCTCAGGTCATGATCTCAGGGTCCTGGGATCGAGTCCCGCGTCGGGCTCCCTGCTCCTTGGGAACCTGCTTCTCCCTCTGCCTCTCTCTCTCTCTCTGTCTCTCATGAATAAATAAATAAAAATCTTTAAAAAAAATAAAAAAAAACAGAGTGGACTAACTTAGAACAAACGAAGAGATGCTCACCTTCATTCTTAAGCAGAGAAACGTAAGTGAGAAACTAAGGACAGGCTGTGTTTGATTTGTCAGAACAGCAATACTGGTTATAGTACGAAGAAGGAGGGCGAAGGGGAGGGGAGAGAGGGTAGAGGAAGACAGGGGCAGTTGGATATTATACAACTGTCCAAGTGTCTTTGTACTAGCCCTCATAAAATAATGGTTGAAGTGAAATCGGAGCACCACTTTGGAGGGCAAATCAGCATTGAGAGTTACAAATTCTGTTAGGCAATGACTCTGCTTGGTAGAATTTATCCTGTACATTTAGACTCCTACTGATACATAGCTATAGAAAAAAAAAAAAAGATTTCATTGCAGGATTAGAAAAATATTAGAAATGGCTTAAATGTCCTTCAAAGGTAGACTGGCTGGAAAAATTCTGACAAATCAATTAATAAAATACTATATGCCTAAAAAATAAATCTAATTTATATATACTGATGGAAAAGTTTCAAAGATATATGCTTAAGTTTAAAAAGCCAAATACAAAATATGTATATAATATTCCTAGTTTTTAGAGAAGTATGAGAAGAGAAACAAACATATATATTAATAGTACATTGGTGGAAGGACATTAAAAAAACGGTTAACCATTAAGATGGAGACTAGCATAAAGGGCAAAGACTGACCCTTTATTTCCATTGTCTTTTAAATTCTTTATGTTTATATCTTTTTATGCCATTTTAATTAATATCATGTGCATGCATTACCCTTTAAATTATTGAAGCAGGGGTAAGTAACTGAAATTAACCAGGAGCTCCTGATGGCATAATAATTTCAAAGTACAAGGATGCTTCGTTGTATAGTTTCAAAGACCTTCTTCTATATCACTCTGTGTCATGATGCATAGTTTCTTGTGGCATGTCAATTTTTTATGATGTTATTGATGAAAAGTCTGATACCTATGATGGTCAAAAATAGATAGTCTTGTCTGCTGATAACAAAAAGTAACTTTAGTTAATTAAAGCAGAACACAAGTTTATTAGAATGAGGCAAAGAGATTCACAGAATGGCAGAAACCTGAGAATGGGGTGTGGTAACTTCACAGAAACTGTTGGATGCTCAAGTACTGTAAGCCCCATTTTCCACTTGACAAGGCACCGAGTGAGCAACTACTGTGTGCTGAGTTCTGTGGGCCCTGGGGATTCAAGAGGAAAGCTACCCAACAGGCTCCCCAGTAGGCATAAGGGAGCTTCTGTGCCAGGCATTGTTCCAGGCAGGGGAGGTGTCCTGACATTCAAATATCACCACAAATTAGTGGAGTTGGTGCCACCCGAGTGGTATGTCTCAGCTCCCTGTGCAGGACGGCGTCACCCTGGTCCTGGGACTCTGCCCACAGCTGCTGGACCCATCACCAGGGGCACTTGGCTTTGGGCTCAAGGCTGTCCCAGCTCCACAGCCGCTGGTTGGGTTCCCAGCCATCTCAGGGTGCTCTGCATCTGACACTCTAATTCAGTGCCCAGAGTGGGGGCATCCAATGAGATGTGAGACTTAGAGAGAACCAGTATCTGGCGTAAAATTTTTCCCCTTTATGGCAGGTGGTGAATGCATCTGAAAGTGAAATATTACATCTGATTCATATGTGCTGATAAGGCAGGATCTCAAAGAAGTATAGTTAAGTTACAAAGAGCCAGCATCAATAATAAAATATATTAGAAATATATTATGAAATATTAGACCTTAAGATGATAGAGTACCATAACCCTGCATCTGTTGAAGCAATGACAGATCACACTATTGTAATTTTTTTTTCCTTAAAGATTTTATTTATTTATTTGAGAGAGAGAGAGAGAGAGACAGCACGAGAGGGGAGAGGGTCAGAGGGAGAAGCAGGCTCCCTGCCGAGCCGGGAGCCCAATGCGGGACTCGATCCCAGGACTCCAGGATCATGACCTGAGCTGAAGGGAGTCGCCCAACCAACTCAGCCACCCAGGCGCCCTGTAATTTTTTAATGTGAAAATGAGAATTTTTATGTAAAAAGCTATTAAATATGTGTAATATTTGATTGTTTATTTACATTTATGGTTTGTGGAAAAAAAAGAAACAAAACGTCTCTTTAATTTAACATTCCATAAATTCTGGAAATATACTTCTAAACCCAGGTCAGCTTATTTGGAACAATTCTGCTATATTCAGATGACCCTAGTCATAATCTGTTACACACGCACATTGAGGGAACTCACAACGTTTAAGCCACATATATTTCAAAATTTATTTTATGAGTAAACTCTTTAGAACAAACATCCTTATTTGGCAATAATTACTTAATAAATGTTTTCTCATTTGAATTTTCAGTGTTTACATGTCTCTTGGTGTACCTGCACCTATTTGCCGCTCTGTAGATACAGATTATAAATTCACAACTATGTCACATTCGTGACATTTGAGATATTTACATCTGCCTTCCCTTTAATGGACAGAAATCATGCTTTATTCCTCTTTTGTGTCCTCGTGGAAACTTGCCTTATGATATTGAACTGTATTCTTCTTTTGCATATTATTCAATTCAAATGAGTTTTGCAATCTACCTAAAATAAAAGAGATTACACCAACATATTCACATATGGAGAATGAAATGCCATGGATGTAGAGACCTGGAATATTTATGTAATTTCAACAACTTCTGTTTTGCTGAGTCTGTGTCTTAGGGCAGGCGAAAATAGCCAACGCTTTCCCTCTCTGCATATAGATGGCGCCACATAGATGCTTTCAGTTAGTTTTCATGCACGAGCAAATATCTATAACTGAAAGTCAAAGTCAGAATGTAAGCCACCCCTTTGGCCTCCCTTCCATTTGACATGTGAGGTTCTTTCTCCCATTCTTTCTTTCTCTGACATTCTTGAACATCATTGAGGAAGTTTTTTGTCACTGGATCATTAACATAGATGCTAAAATCTTTCAAATAGTGTTAGCAGTTTATGGAATTGCAACTCCTTCGGTTTCTTGTAGAATTTGGACCCATTTATAAAATTTACCATAGGTGTATGTTGGTGTAAATATGAGTACAGTACCTGCAAATTAATCATTCCTTTTATTTTCCAGATCCCTTAAAATCTGATCAAGACTCTTCGAACCATTACCACGGCACCAGCAGTGGGTCTGTCGCGGCTGCCATCCTGGTCCCATTCTTTGCTCTAATTTTGTCAGGGTTTGCATTTTACCTCTACAAACACAGGTACCGTGGAAACCCCGAGGGTATGCAAACGCTGTGCGCGGAGAGCGCTGGTCTGGGGAACGCACATCCGCTCACTGCAGCGTGCACACACACGTATACAGCTCCGCAGCCTTCTCTTCCACATTACGAAAGCTCGCACAGGAAGGTTTAGCCTTGTTTTGTTTGCCGTACTTGCTCAGCAGGCCAAGTTTGAGTAATGAACTTTAGAGAATAAATAAATGGATTTAAGAAATAACGTGCTAGGGTTCATGGTCAATTGAAAGATGCAGTGAAGGATTCTATTTCTATTTTTGAGGTCCACAGCCAGACATCAGGGGCATTAGGATGGTATCTCCACCTTCCAGCAGAAGATGGAACAGAATGCTCTTTATGGCCACTTTCAACTCCATGAATCTGTGATCTACAAACTGTTGGTTTATTCCTTTCTTCAACCAGATACAAATTGAGTTCTCACTATGTACTCAAAGATACCACATGTTCCATCTCTTGGAACAGTGTTCTATCTATGAATTTGCATATCCCTACTAACTGAAAAAATGTCAAAACTTGAGAAAAACGACTTTAATGAAATAGATCCTTTCATTGGAGTTAATGAGGATGCCACCACAACCCCCACCAAAAAAAAAAAAAAAAGCAAAAATAAATTGTGGAGGAACTGTAAGTTCTTATGCATGTTGTCTTTATCTTGATAATATATTTCCTGGAAGAATATGGCATATGCCAAACTGTTTTAAAATACTATTTGTGGGCGCCTGGGTGGCTCAGTTGGTTGGGCGACTGCCTTCGGCTCAGGTCATGATCCTGGAGTCCCAGGATCGAGTCCTGCATCGGGCTCCCTGCTCAGCGGGGAGTCTGCTTCTCCCTCTGACCTTCCCCCCTTCCTGCTCTCTCTCTCTTTCTCATTTTCTCTCACAAATAAATAAATAAAATCTTTAAAAAAATTGTATAAAAAATAAAATAAAATACTATTTGTAATAGTGGAATTCCCTATATATATTTTAAAAAACCCCTCTATGATTCCCCAAAATAAGATTAAGGTATGTTAAATGTGCTCAACATTCATTTATATAATACAGATATTCTATTTAATCCTGGTTTAAAAGAAGAAAAACTGTGTAAGGATTTTTTTAATGACTCATAGAATAGATTTCAATATGTGCTTTCTTATGCTTTTTAAAAATATATAAAATAGTAAGAATGTTACTTCAAAATTCTATTGCATAGCTGCTTACATGGATGTCTTCACTTTCCTGTGGTTGGTAATGTACTTGGTTTAAAAATATAATTCGATGAAAGGAATCTCAGATGGTACTTAACAAAATTGAAGTTTGGCTCATCTGTATTAGTTAATTATTATTACTTTTTGAGAAGACAATATTTTCTGAACACAGGTCTGGTGAGCCTTATCCTCAAATTTCTCTAGGGCTAGTTGAAAATGTAGTAAATATAAATATAAATATAAATATATATATATATATATCTCACTACCTTATCCAATAAAATTCCATCCTTAGAAGTGCTTCTGTTCTTAAAGAAGTATAAATTACAAATATATCTTCTTTCACACGTTTCTCCAGGAACCACAATACCCTTACAGATAAATATACAGTAGGAATTTATAATTCCTACAAATTCATTTTTGCTTTTTGTTGTTGTTGTTGGCATCTATGTTAACCCCTAGGGAAACGTGCAGTCCATTAAAGTTCTTTCTCCCCACTCTTTGGTGTTTCCCCGTCCATAGGGGAGTCTCTGGATCCTCCTGAAGTCTCCTCTGCCCAGACTTCATGGGGGTTAAAAACAAAACATATACCACAGGCAGGAGTCCCCATCTGCCTAACGAGGTTTGCCTCAATGTGCCTCCCAGTGAGGCAGACCTTTATATGAGTCTCAGAGAAAACTCCTCTCAGCACCTCTCTGAGCTTTTCAAAAGATAACCCTACACAATTATATGTAGGTATACATAAAGCAGTCAGCACTTCTGATGAGATCTTAAGTTTAAGACCTCACAGTATTGGGGAATACTCAATATAGACCACACCTGTAGTCTTCCAACCGCAGATGCTTCCCTACCACGTTCAGTACTCCGTGCTTCCGGAGGGAGACCTCACTTACGTGTCTGGTGACTTTGATCCCTCTGCATTTCCACACCGTGGGCTGTCTGATCTCATGGCTCTCGAGAGCCAAGAAGCCCCTGTGACTCCGAATCCGTACGCTCCTGTAGTTCTCTGGGCCTGTGCCGTAGGAGGAATTGGGAGACTTCTGTAGAAGCAAGCAGGCCATGCCTGATCACCCAGGCAGGCCATGAATTCATTTTCGTTTGAGTCGTTGCCATGTACCCAGGGAACACGCCAAACTATTAGCTTTCCCTACACTGGCTCCTTTACCCTCTACAGGTGTAAAAGTTCCTTAACCAGCTGGATCTTTATTTCTTGAGTGGAAACCGTGTTCCTGCTCATTTCTGAGTTTCTCTCATTACCCTCTGCTTGGAATTGTTCCCTCAGTGAGACCCAGGGCTCCTGACTCAGGACTCCCACGTCGCTGCCCTGCACACGCTTCCTTCTCTACGGCCCTGGGATCCCATCCAACTCTGTGGGGCTTCCCTGGCAGTGCAGGGGTGGTGACCCCTGACCTGGGAGATGACATGGGGATTTTAGCCAGCTTTCAACTTCATTAACGTTTGGCTGAATTTGTTTATTAACTTTTGCTGCTGGAGAATTTTCAAGTTCAATGTCAAACACCCTCCCCAAGTCCTGGGGCAGTTGCAAACTGCTTTTCTGCTGACAGAAACCTAATTTTCTGAAACTTATACACTTTGAGTTCTCTTTTTCTCAGTGAGCATTAAGTCAAGTCAGAAAATCTACTAGTAAATCATTAAAACGGAAGCATCGTTAAATCCGATATCTGGTGATGATTTTGCTAGTGTGGGTATTTACGTTAAAGTTCTGTTTTTACCACCTGGCATAGTTTTCTTATGTAATTTCTTCTGGAAAAGGTGGGGGGCAGACTAGATAGCTTTACGTCTTTTACCTCTAAAAAACCCTCCAATCTCTAATCTTAGGTCATATACAGGGGTTTTCTTTTAATTAGAAAGCGTAACCAGTAGTTTGACAAAGAGTTCAACGTCTCTTCTGTAACTTGGTCACAGCTATGTTACATTACAGAAAGAGCTAGCCTTTAGTGAACATGATAACCGCAGTGAACTGAAGTTTATATTTCTCTTTTCCTTAATCTGAACAGTCCTGAAGGGTTGACATCTTGATTGAGCAGTGAGTGACTTCCCCAAGGTCATATAACTTACAAGGGACAGACAAATGTCTAAAGCAACTCTGGCATTGATGATCTTCCCATTTTGCCAAGAGTATCAATAGGAATCAGATAATTCCTTGACTTTGGAAAGAGCTTCAGCATTTTAAACTGCCTGTGTCATCCCAACCACTGATTCTAAAAAGGAAAACGGTCTAAACGTGTGGAGATGTGCCCTCTTCCCCGTCACTGTGTGCCCTTGCATGTGTATTCCCTGCTGAGTCGGGAGTGATGTCGTGCCCCCGGCCCCAGCTGCCTCTTTTCTTAAAATCCTGGCTCTAACAGTTTGTTCCTTCTTTCCCCTTTAGAACGAGACCAAAAGTTCAATACAATGGCTATGCGGGACATGAAAACAGCAATGGACAAGCTTCCTTTGAAAACCCTATGTATGATACAAACTTAAAACCCACAGAAGCCAAGGCTGTGCGGTTTGACACAACTCTGAACACAGTGTGTACAGTGGTATAGCCCTCAGTGCCCCATTAGGACTGATTCATAGCCATACCTCTGATGGACAAGCAGTAACTCCGTTGGTGCCATATACCACTCTCCCTTCTACTCTTGGCTTTGCTCCGGTGATCTTTCACATCTGCTGGCATCCATGCAGCGGGAATCTCCAGTCACGTGCCAGAGTCTTCTGAGGGTCGGACAACAAATACCGACAAATGCGCCTGCATTCTGAACATGGATTCCGAATGCCTGACTACATCTGCTTGGAATCAAGGCACACTTAAGGAAGACTGCCGAGTCATGCCAAGTCTTCGTACTTAATGCCTCAGACTTTCGTATTTCTGTGTGGCTGGGATGCCTTTCAATGCAGTCTTCTGGGCACGTGGATACGTCCTTTGGGTGCGGTGACAAAATGGTAGCACCACAATATACCACAATACGTTGTTCTGTTTTTGTTTTGTTTTGTTTTGTTTTTAACCCCCATGAATATGAATACTCTGGAAAAAAAAAAAGCTCTCTTGAAGAAGACACCTTTCTGGTAGACGCACACACCTACAAACGCTTCACTCTGTCCTTCCTGAGACCTGACAAGCTTTGAGGACTCACGGCTCCCCTCAGTGTCCATCCCTAGGGCCATTTGCAAATTCCCCAGTCAGCTGTTCTATTGCAGAATTTTTGATGCACAATTTTTTGCACTAGTGTGTTATGAATGACTGAGTAAGATTCTGATAAAAAATAAACTATTTACACAGGGTTTATACACACTATCCATTGTATATAAGCATCTTCTCATGTGGTCAAGCTAAACATCCACCATCTGTTCAGTTGGTGTGTTAGAGAGAGGAAGTATCCCCAGACATGGCTCAGGTCTTAAAGGTATTGGAGAGACTTATTTTATTACTGCTTCCTTTAGCTACATATGTATGTTGAATTCATTGAAGATGTCGAACAAGGCAAAAAAAAAGAGGCCTTTTTATGTTTTTTATTTAGCACACACGTTCTCCCTTTCGGCATCACCCGCTGATGGCACGGAATGGCAGGGCGGTGGCGGCATGTCTCTCTGCCGTGTAAACATGTCCATAGTAATTTATTTTAGATAGCTCATGAACCTGTGGGATTCAGCTCACCGTAGTCTTCCCCGTGCACCGGGGTTCGCTCCCCCCCGGGCACCGTTGCCAGCTGACGTGGCGTGGACCGACTGCGCACGGTGCATCTTGCACTCAGTGGGACTTGTCCAGGATCAAAATACCACGTGTCTCTCTGGAGGTGAGGGAGAATCACACATTTCTTTCCTGATGACACCTTTCATACATTGTTCTGTCTTTTGTTTCATGCGAATTCCAGATACAGAGGCGATTTAGGTGATTTTTCACCTTTAAAATGTATTCTAGGTACGTTTCGAATCACGGTGTGAATAAAATAGGCATGATCCCCAGTGTGGATAAGATCCACGTATGAAGTAGAAGGCGTGGCAATGAGAATGTGGATGTAACAAAATCCAAGTGAAGATCATGTTTATTTTTACTTATCACGGTTTGATAAAAGCATTTTAAAAAGACAATGCTTATTTTATTCTTTGGGTGTTCAGTACGTGTCCCATGTATTGAGAATGTCTCCCTATTCACCTTCCAGAGCAGCATCCACCAAGTGTCTCATTCACTTCGTTTTAGTGGACACATTCACACCTAGCTTTACGACTGATGGATTTGTTGCTCTGTTGAACATTCAAATGCAGGACTTCAAAAGTGGAAAATGAAAAGAAAAAAAAAAGACACAAAAACCTGTCAGGATACGAGCTCATTCTTTCAAGTCATGTGTTTTGATTTGAGCGCTTTAGTGGATCTTTTTACCCTTGATGCCCACTGTTCTGTTACTTGTTTGAAGGGGTGTATGCTGTTAGGAGGGCATCCCTGACCTCTTCTAGTGACTTCTTTGCCTTTTGAACTCCAAATTATGAATTCCTTAGTATCATGCTGAATTCTCTGCCCCTTTTTCTCTGGCCGACCTGATAACGTGACTGGAGATTTGCTTTGCAACCTGGAGCCCTTACACGGATTCTACTCCTTAGACTAGACGAGGTCGGCCAGAGCCAGGCTCCTAACATGCACACTGAACCAGAACAAAGAGAAAGGGAGTTCGAGGATCGTTGTGTGCAGGGGAGAACAGGGTTACTATATATATTAGGTGTATATATATATATATACATACATACATATATATAAATATATTGTACATATCTAAGTTTGAGTCATTCAAACTAGGTGCAAAATGCTGACTTCAGAGTCTGAATTAATGTCTCTCTTCCCCCATCCCTGACCTGCTTGCCGGTCAAAGCCGTTACCAATTCCTGAACTGACAGGACATACATACACACATCCAGAAACCACATACACAATTAGATATTATTTTCCTTTGTGTGCAAAGTCAGCCTGTCCTTTGGTTGCCAGTTTGGAGCATGGTATTCAACAACAACCACAAAAATACTCCATAAAATTCTCCTGCGAGGATTCTGCCTAGTTTCTTCCTAGGGTGTGTGCAGTGTGGATTCAGATCTCCTGCGAGGTGTTGGAGGGTCTCACGCAGGCAGTCGGCATGCGCGCTTCCTGCGCTGGGGCTGCAAGACTCCTTCTGGAAGCGACCAGAACCCCTGCGCGGGAAGGACCCCATGCTAACGCAGGTTATGTGATTCAGAGCTGTTTAAAATGCTGCTTGTTTCCCACATCTTTTGCCTTTCTTCAGGCTAGCTGCAATAATTTTTTCTTCTGTAAGATATTTTGTAAACAACAACAAAAAAAGCGATTCTCAAACAGGGGGAAAGAACGCTGGTGTCATGGTCAGGAAACCCGCCGCATCTCTGCCCGCCCCGTGTTACCATCTCACCACATGCTGCTGACATGAAGTAGGTGCAAACGACCTTTTTGTACAGAGATATATTTTTTATGAAGAATTTGTAAAATTATTAAATATGCTGTAATTTTTTGATTAATGTAGGTAAATTGTTAAAAAAAAATAAATGTTTTTACAATACAAAACTGTAATTTTCCCAATAATGTACCATGTACCATCTCTAGATGATTCTCAGTTCCAATCCTATTACACATGTATTAATATTAAAGTGGCCTGTTAAAATCAACAGTATCTTTTTTTGTCAAAAAAATTATAAAGAGAGTGTAATATAGCCTGTGCAATGCCACCTATCTTTAAAGCAAATCAGAATTCTAATTAAATATTTAATTTTAGATTTCTATTTTTTGGTGTGATTTATTGTAGCCTAATAACGTGTGCCTGTGGGTCCGTGGCAGGGGAGGCAAAGAACGAAGTGTTCCTAACGAGCTTTCACTGCATTTGCAACCAGGCTGGGTATTTTCTGCAGATGATGTTAGCATCACGAACATGATTAATAACCAGCACGCGTGTGAGGATGCGCGACACAGGCACTGGCTGTGCGGAAGCTGACTTATTTCTTAATGGTTTACCTAAAACCAGGGAGAGGTTTCGCTCTTCTTGAAACCAAAATCAAGCCTGTATTTTTATAATTTTTAAAGCTTTTTTTTTTAGATTTTTTTGTTTTTGTTTTTGTTTTTTGATATTTCCAAGCCATTGCTTTAATATAACCATGACTGCGTGAACCCCAGTCAAACAGAGACGCCAGCCTTGTTCGCTCCTGGTCAGTGTAGTCTGCACAAGGAAGGCTGTTCACCCACATTTGGGTGAAATTTTAATTCCTTTAAGGAGAGCATTTGTATGATAGGGTAATTTCTTTTTTGTTTGTGTTTTTTTTTACTTTTTATTTTTATTATTTTATTTTTCATTATGTTCAGTTAGCCTACATATTGTACATCACAAGTTTTTTTGTAGTGTTCAACCATTCATTAGTTGCGTATAACACCCAGGGCTCATCCCAACATGTGCTCTATGACTAACACCAAAGAAATAGAAACAATTATTAGACATTTTTACCAGCAAATATATGCCAACAAATTAAGCAATCTAGAAGAAATGGACACTTTTTTTTAGATTTTTTAATTTATTTGAGAGACTGAGAAAGAAAGACCACAAGCAGGGGGAGGGGCAGAGGGAGAGGGAGAAGCAGGCTCCCCACTGAGCTGGGAGCCCAATGTGGGTGGAGCTCGATCCCAGGACCCTGGGATCATGACCTGAGCTGAAGGCAGACACTTAACTGACTGAGATTCCAGGTGGCCCAGTATGTTTATAATTTGAAAAAAAAAATGGCAGTTCTTTCTCTAAACGTTTGCAGTGCTGAAAAATGACACGTAAGAACATTATGCACATATTTAAGAAAGCATTTCAAATGCCACACTTGAAGAAGGCTCAAAAAAATTCCTTCTCTCAGACTGCCCTTAAAATTCAGAGCCAGCCATCCTCCGCTCATCTTGGGACTGAGAGAAAAAAGAACACTTTACAAGTCCTCCGTGGCCCATCAAGCGGAAATGTCCTGCAGTTAAACAGAATGATATGCTAATTTTCCTGAGAGTCAAGTTATTACAAAATGAAAAACAACCAATAATAATAATAAAAAAATCACCCCACAGTGGCTTCAAAGAAACGAAAGTTTTGATATCCCACTTAGACTCTGGGTCTCTTTGGTCCACAGATGTTTTTCATTGCTATGGATTGAGCACCTACTCTGCGCCTAACACATTTCCATGTGACTTGCATCCCTTCAAATAGTCCTCCTAATCTAGCAAAGTGGTGTTACTGCTCTCACTTCATAGGTGAGATGCAGAAGTGCTGAGAAGCTTATTACCTAAGGATGCAAGCTAGGCAGGCTGATGGTGGAGAGCAGTCTTCTCCTGCTTCACCTTCTTTTCTCACTAGAAATATCACATTATTAAATTCATCAGTATTTTCTGATTCTGCAATTAAAAAAAAAATTCTCTCATTCTAGCTGTAAATCATTTTGTTTTGGCTTCACCCAGTTAAAAATAACTCCAAGTAAAGAATTCTAGGAGATATCAATACTCCATAGTATCAGTTTTACTGTCTCCCAGATTACT